TTACAACAAAAAATTGCCCCAGAAACCTGCAATACTGGTATTGAATAAGATCGACATCACACCCGATGAAAAGGTTTTATCAAATTAAATCTTGCATTCACTATCAACACCAAACCGTTTAGGAACCTTCACGCTTGGCTGAGATACTTCGCAAGTTGGATTGGCCGCTCCAGCTGCCAAAAGAACTGCGACCACACATTCCTCTTCAATTTGATTATGTTATCCCCATATCTGCCAAACTAGGAGAGATTGAAGAGCTGAAGCGAGCTCTTGTGCGTACATATCGAAACATACGCCCTACCATAGTACCACGCGATCTATCGGAAGATGATGAGAAGAGCTTAGTATAGAATAAATAGATTTATTGTTTCTCGCATTGCTACAGAAGATCTTGATCTGTATAATCTGGGAACATTACGAATACTGATGGATTTTTATCACAGTCTTCCAGCCACTCACTGTATCGGACACGTCCAATTGTAGGTGGAAATCTGCAAATCAACAAGCCATTTGCTGCATTTTTATATCAGCATATTCTTTAAGAATTTGCAAATCTTAGAAGTACCACTAAGTACATCGTTTGGTAGTTAACAATAGATTTGTGGGCTGTTATATTCTAGAAGAGAAGTGCCATTTTCTTCCCAGCAAGAATGATATAATGATACATGGCTACCCCTTCTCTCCTACGCGAGCTCAAAATGGTATCGGAAAATTATTGTACAGTCAAGATGTATCGGCTTGGGTTATTGGGCTAGCATCCATGTTTTTTCTTAGATTTTACCAGAAAATAGTACTGATAGCCTATGCGCATGTTAGTGTGACTAATTTGTTTTAACAAGATGTGCATCGCCAGCAAGGCAAATGCAAACTCCTCATATTTTTTTTTTTGATTCTAGAAGTACGAGCTACATTGTTTTGTCGTCAGCAAAAGATTTGTGGGCAAAACACTGCAGTTGCACAGGAGGAGTGAGAAGGGTTGTTACAAATTTCTTCCACGTCGTCAAATTTTAGACTTCCAATTGCTTGCATGTGACAGCTTCTAGTAGTAGTACCTCATAAGCGGTTTATCAACAAATTGAAGGC